ACCCACCCAGCTTCACCTCCTCCACAGAAGCAGCTGTTGTCACACAGCATAGCGGCCAGCTCAAACAATGCCGCCACACAGCCAAAAAAAAAAACATAACAGGGGAATTCATTTCCGTTCAGGCACGCTGCAGACATCTCAGAAAACAGGAAGGCCCCAACATAGCTGTGTGGAAGTGCGTTCATTCAGCAACACAGAGGTGACTGATACTGTATTTAGAAGATGTTGGTTTGATTAGAAATCCCCCCCCCCCCCACACACACACACTGACAGAATCTGACTCTTACAAGGATTGAACAAGTTTTACAAAAAAAGGCTCACAAAGTGGAACAATCAGGAATTTTCTTCGAGGTTTTTGCAGTTCAGGACAAACCAGACGGACAGCACTTGAATTTCCCGACAGGAAAAACTCACGAGGAATTTTTTTTTATGGGCTGACAGTAAATTTTCAAGAAACAACAAAACTAAAGAAAAATACATTAAATAAAAGTTTAAAAAATAAATAAAAACAACAACCTGGAGAGAGAGAAAATAAGCTACCTCAGTGATGTAATGTTTACAGCACAGATCAGAACAGAGAGCTCATCATTTTACTGAGCAGCGTATATAAACAGTCTGCATGACTGATGTAAAACTATAACTATTTTACATGGTAATAACAATAAAATCATTAAAACAGACTTTTTTTCTCAGTGTGAGCAGCAGAGGATATCAATCAAAGTGATTTCCTGTATCAACAAACTAAACAATATGAGGAAGTTGTCTTAGACCAATGAAAGTTTGCACACGCTCGCGCGCGCGCGTGTGTGTGTGTGTGTGTAAACCTGGACTGTTCTCAGTGATCAGGAATAATTCAAGGAGCTAAAAACATTTTTTTTACAATAATCTTCAAATCAGTAACAGATTGTTATGTTTGCAAAGATGAAGATTAGAAAACCTGAAAGAAGAAAAGTTTCAAATAAAAAGTCTGCATGCTACAGGAGGTATGTTAGAGCTATCAGGCAAGAGGAAGACGAACACAAAGGGGATTCCCTAACAATATCTGTATGTGTGTGTGTGTTTGTGTGTGTGTGTGTGTGGATGTGTGTGTGTGCTATGCTCCCTTTTGGGATCTAAACTGAACTGGGTCAGTTCAGTTGAGGTGGTCCCTCTGGGCTGGATTAGCCGTTAGCTGCAGGTGTTAGCAGACACACAGTGGGTGTTAGCGGTGTGTGTGAACACACCTGTGAGTACAGGTGTAAACACACTCAGGAAACATTGGGGGGAAAGGTTGAAGTCCATGCAATGTTTTAGTTTTTAAAAAATCCAATGAATATTTTTTTATTTTTTTATTTTTATTTTTTCAAAAAATGGATATTTGTCTGCAAGTTTTCACATTTAGTTTGTTAAATCAACTTTTATTTCCCTTTTTATCTCTGTGTTGTGCTTGTGGTTGTGGACTTTAACACACACATATCTGATTATACAGCAGCCATTTATGTGTTTTCGTTTAAGCACTTCAGATCACAATATAGTTTACTTTTCAACAACAATGTTATTTGACACRTAGAGTTAAGGTTCAGTCAAAAGAAGGAAGTTTTCAACCTTTGAAAACCAAGATAATAACTGCTCCCTTTGCTACTTTCCACCAGAGCAGAAGGTTTAATTTACTGTAGCTACAGAGCATTACACAAACCCTTGAACCACAGACGGGGCTCGTCTGAGAAACGTGTGGTCATGTTCTGAAAACAAACGTGTCCTTTATTAATGCATGAAACTCTTGCACACCTGCACAGACGAATGACTTACAAAACGAACAGCCTGAAGTTTGAAAWGTTTCAGCAGAGAGGACTAAAAACAAAACATCTTTAAGAAGAATAAAAAACGTCATTTGTCAGGAGCACACAGTATGTGGCACCAGTTGATTCAGTAACGATTCAATCTTTTTTTTATTTCTTTTTACTTCCTGCATGTTTAGTAGAAATTCCGAGTTCCAAACGTGATCGAGCATTTTCAATAAATTGTCAAACCTGTTGGTTGAGCTGATAAGATGATAAAAATCTGTCACTCCTGCAATGCCCTCTTTTATGCAAAGCATCCATGGTATTCCCAACATTTAAAGCCTTTCATTTTTAGATTCTCTCTCTCTGTATTTTAGCTACAGAAAGGAATGACTGATGACCAGAGCCCTGTTTCAGAAAGCAGGATGAGTGGAAATCCTGAGTAAGTTCTGGGGTAACTACATGCATATCCTAAGTTTACTGTTTCAGAAAGCCAGATAGCAGTTATCCTGAGTTAACTTACCCCTGCAACTTACTCTGTGAACCAACTCTGCTCTGTAGCAGAATTACTGGAACATTTCCTGAGTTAGTCTGAACTTTTAGCTGAGATCTGGCATGAGGAAAGTNCTGAAAGTGAAAATCCTGAGTATCAGAGCGGGGTAAGTTGACTCAGAGTATCTGCGTTAATCCAGGGTTTGTTAATCCTGCTTTCTGAAACGGGGCAAGTTTGTTTGATGATTCATACCAACAAATAATCCCAGGAGATTAGGCTTACAGTAGTCTAAGAACAGAATGTACAACTGGAGCTTAATTTGGTCAAAAGCACAAAGAAATCCTGAGACCATAAATACATTATTTCTTTCCCAATAACCCGCACGTGCAGTAAATGTCATTTGTTTAAATTGAAACCAACAAAACAAAGGCAATGCAAACATTGAAAACATAATGTTCCATCTCTGCAGAATACTGAAGCCAGATCGAGGGGCTTGGTGTTTTTGGGTGACTGAGTAAATCTGAACGTTGGAGTGGGTTTTCTTGTGAAAAATGGCGTGGGCTGACGAAGCTCCCAGAACTCAAGGCAAAACATCTGCAGTGAGGCCAAGTTTGTAGGTTTCCACAGAAAGCTTTTAGAGAACAACAAATGCTTTTTTCACATATTTGTTTTATCTGGCAAGTAATTGAAGAAGGAGAATTCCCGTCACTTATTCAAATTGTCAACGTGACGTCTTCGAAGGAAACCGTGTAAAAAGGTGTTTAAAATTCAGTTTTTACTTCAGATGTGAAAAGCAGAAACACACTTGTGTTATACACAAGTAAACATTTAGAGAGCAGATCCACATGCATGCAGGCTAAAGAGTCAACCACGCCTGATCGGGGGACTTATACAGGTTTGACAAAAAACAAGGCCTCCATGGCGGACAGGCTGGGCGACTCAACACGGAAAACAGGGTCTCCTCGACAGCTGCCGGGTCTGGCCAAGTCTTAAGGGTCACCACAATGTAAAACAAAAAAAGTTAAAGAATTAATTTTGGCAAGTATTTTATTTTATTATATTTTATTTATTTTTTTACTCAATTGTGGAGTTTTTGAAAACCAACGGCCTCTAAGGAGTAAATCAGTTGAAAATTTCCTTAAAGGTTTTTTTTTATTTCAGGCTAAGGTTAAAGGAAAATTTGAGGGTTGACAGGTTAAAAGAATATTTACAGGTGGAGTTTTACTATCAGTATATATATATATATA